TTAAAATATAACTTATGCTTTATATATTGCCAAATTTTTAACAGAGTTAATTTTCCGTCTGTTCCTTCTTCTGGCTAACGACAATAGAGCCTACATCTATCATTTTGAACCAAAGACAATAGGATAAACGTTAAATTTTCTTTTAAGTAATGTGGAATTAAACTATACAGCTGATCGTGCATGAGCAATCTATAATATTATACTTGATTGGAAAAACAAAAGAGCTTATATAGAAGATAGCACTGGCGGTTTCAGCAGTTCGGCGATCGCTATTCATTCGTGAATAGAAGTAATCACGATGATTTTTAGAGTTTAGCTTATAAATGTTTGCACAGAACAATTTAAAATTTAAAATCGAAAGAATTGTGAAACAAAACTGGTTACTGTTGTTTAAGAGCGATGCCAATCGTTATAGTCAAGTTCTCTTATAAATAATAGTGTCAGATGCAAAAAGACATGGATAATTGCTCATGTTGACTGATAATTAATTTAAAAACACTTCGGAAGTAAACAGAACTAAATACAACTTCGTCTATTTAAAATAAAACAGTGTCATAACTCAGATTTAGAAAAGAAGCTAAATATGTCTGAAAACTCGTTTTCATTTCTTTTTAAAAAAAAATTGTTTCTTCGACTAAATGTTATAGAAGAAACTCTAATGCATTCTATTGGATCACTATTTTTTTCCAAAAAAAAACCAAAGTTCAAAGGAGCAAGATGAACAACAAGAAGGCCGTAAGATAAATCATCGGAGTTGGTTTTAATAAAATTGAGTAACCTTCGTCATTCAATCTAATTCTAATCTTTTAATTAGAACAGTGTCAACTCGTACCATTATTGCCCGCGTCATCGTCACAAATAAATTTTTGAAAATAATTTTATAACAAGTCAAATATTTTTTTCCTTAGACAATCATTTAAAACAACGACAAAAACCAGGTTTAAAATCGTAAATACGAAGCATATCTATTGATATAAAGGCCTAAAGTTGATTTTTTGTTGTTGATGAGAAGCCTGGATCTAATCATCTTTCAGTTTTAAGACTAACTTCTCATTGCTTTTTTTTCAATAGAATTCAAAAGGCAAAAGAGCTGAGATCAAAGTTTTTGGCTTAAAATATTCTTTTTATTTCAAATTGATGAAAAACCAAAAACAAAACGGTTCTTTCCCTCTTGAAACTGACACAATGAAACATAAGTGAGCGAGTGCATTATCTAATTTCTTTCGAAAAACACTTTCACTACCTCGGATGTCATCATTTAGAAATTTTCACTCCCTAGCTGGATATCTAGATTCACCACTAGAATATTGAAGATTGTCACAGCAGTGCAATAATCATACTGTTCTTGTCAGAGTCGAGAATAAATGATAAGTATAGATGCGGTCTTTTGTTTTTAGAAACACACTGTTCCTTCGTGTATGCAACAAAATCAATATTCGTAACACATTATTCACTCTTATAAATTTTAGTTTTCTGAGATATTGCTTCGACAATTTTATCACTCTTGTCGAAATTCAATTCAATGATGCGTAATACCTCGTTTAATTCGTGAAATACTTCGAAACTAATAAGAATAGGTATTCAATCATTCCAGATCTTCTCAAACATGGTGTATAGATGTAACAAAAAAAAATTGCTTGCCTGTCTTGAAGAACTATTAGTCAGTATGAAACATAATGGTAACAGATCATGCCTATAACTCTTTCACTATGCGAAAGATAAAATATAACGTTCCGATTTCTTGAGTAGTGTCACATATCCAAGATTTTGGAGATGCCACCACATCTCCCGTGGGAGATGCCGCGTCTCCAGCGGGAGACGCGACACCCACACTCGAGAGATATGGTCATTCACCACTGGAGATGTAAGATCTCCTTTAGAGATGCGCATCCCCCACACCCACACCCGCATCTCTCGCGCGAGATGCGGCATCTCCCGCGGAAGACGTGGTGGCATCTCCAAAATCTTGGATATGTGACACTGCTGGATTTCTTAAATACTTTTACCAATTTGAAACATATGGTAATAGTAGATTCTGAAAGAGTTTTATTTAAGTGATGTGCAACTGGCTTTTAAAATATCATCTAAGATATGATGTTGCCGACATAATTTATTTCACTTCAACTACCAATACTATTTCATTGTTCCTTACGAAAGTGTAAATCAACATACAAATACTTGTAAGCATGACTAAAAAATCAAGTCCATTTTATAAGTGCAAGAACAAAACTAGGAATCTCTACGCTTCTAATTGTTCTGATTCTGATAGCACAAAGATACAATTTAAATCATATTGATGTTCTTTATCGTATCTCCTCATGGTTGAGTGAACCTCCTTGAAATGAATCAATACACCTGCTCGGCAAATAGAAAAAAACATAATGTAAAGTGGTTTCATTTACTTGCTTATATGAAAAAAAAACCTACATCGAACTAATTTTAAAATTACTATCATAATTTTCTTACTGTAAATCTACTATTCTGTTCCACTCACTAGAATGGACAACTTTTTCGCTGTGACTATTTCAATCAGTTTGTGTGAAAATAAAATAAGTTTTTGATAGTTACTATGAAATAGATAAAGCATTGTATTTTATTTATACATATCAAACTTCGACACATTTGAGTGCTATTAGCCTCCTTCACTTCAGAAGCGATCAATAAAAAAAAACTATCTGATGTAAAATCTTTCCCTATTTTCTCACTGTTCATGATTCACATATTCATACATACGTCTCTCTTCGTAGTTCAATATCACTCTTATTACTAATTTTAATAGAATCTAATCCGAAAATCTTTAATCTGAATCAGATTGTCATTCCATATCTATTCAGCAATAAGTAAATGAAAGTCCAATAGACATACAACCGAAAATTAATCTTAAACATTTTCGTGTTTATCTTTTGTCGTATTATGATTGACTAGAGAAAATCATTAAGACAACAACTAAAATAATGAAAAAAGCTAACAAGTTCTAGTTTCAAGCATACAAATCAATCTAAATTAGTGAATGACGCCATTTACACAATTGCCATTAGACTAACGATGCAAACGACATGTATAGTTTCAATTTACAATATGATCATCAATTATTAGTAATTTTTGATCAATTATATTTATTTTTAGTAAATAAATGAGTAGATTATTTCGGAACACCTATATTACGTACTATATGACGGTATTTATCCATTTTATTATTCTTTATAAGACATTCTTGAAAAAAGAATTATAATTTGAGACATCTTGCACAATAAATACTTTATTTGTTTGCCGTCATTCTTCTTGTTCTTATATTTAGTCACTATAGAAATGAACAAAACATAAAATGATACTCAATTACGTATCATATTCATTCCACGCATTTAATAACTACTAAAAATTAAAAAAAATTATAATTATTCCAAAGTTACCAATTATATATGTTGACTTATAAAATTGCAAGTATGCATGATTAGTTTCGTTTGCTGTATTTCTATGAGAAAGCCAATTAAAATAGTCAATATGCACAGTGACACTCGAATGGATCACTGATTTTTGCTCTCTCTTGGTAACTTATAAATCGATGGTTGACTCTACGAGACAGTTATATATGTTAGCGTCCAATCTCGGATTCAGTCCAATCTCGGATTGGCCTAGGCCAATCTTGGACGCTTACATTAGACTAGTCCAATGTTGGATTGGCACAATTTTTCTCATTAAAACATCAATTAATCTTTCGATAGACGTTGGATTCGAATGTTTGTTAGGAATTATGTTGAGACAATGCCAGTTTAAATATTTCAATCATTTATGAAGAAGTTAAGTTCAGACTCAAAACTTCAATAACAAATTTTCATAAAAGCTGTTTTTCTGTAGAAACTTAATCATAACTTCGCAAATTCTACTTTAATCTCTCCAACGACAATTGTGCCACTTGAAATGGCATTGTCTCAACATAATTCCTAAAAATCATTCGAATCCAACGTCTATCGAAAGATTAATTGATGTTTTAATGAGAAAAATTGCGGCAATCCAACATTGGACTAGTCCAATGCAAGCATTCAAGATTGGCCTAGGCCAATCTGAGATTGGACTGAATCCGAGATTGGACGCTAACATATACATACGTAGAATACGATAAACTCTCCTAAGTGGACTCACAAACACATTCACGTTTTCCTCTCACTCAATCGCCATTTACAATGCGCACGGTTTCTATTGTTGCTGTACTACTGCTAATCATTGTGTACATCCTGAAGGTTAAAGGTACTGCTATCAATAAACGCTCGATACTTCAATTCTAGAAAGATCTTGAACTGTGTTATTTGCTTCAAAATCTAGCTAATAACAAACGAGAAGACTTGAAGAGCGACTTCCGACGCCAAGTGAAGTTATATTCTACAACGCGTACTGACGATGACGTCGATGAATCCACAGATTTTTCATCAATAATAGAACAGATTAAGTGTGTGCTCGATTGCATTCTAGATACTGACGTAAATAAATACCAACTTTGCCGTCAGCTATGCAGTTATAAGGCTTGAGATGCTCCCTTAATAAGACGCTTTCGTTTTTGCCGTTCAGTTTTCTATACTTTATATCTTCTAGTGTTCTATTTTCTTATATGTTTACTCCTAGCCTTTCCTGTTCTTTTCTTATCATTCTTAGAATAAAACTTTTGTACTTCATTTCATCCATTAAAGCGGTTTCATTATCAGACAATTGATTGACAATATGATCGATTGACGGTGTTGCACTTAGTCTCAAAGTGCTAACACCAACTTTTACCGATAGTGTTTTCATTCAACATGGCTTGGCTATGCTTGATTATCTCATAAATCTATTCGTGAAATAGTCTAGCATTTATAACAAAGATTCTTCTCCATATACTACTGTAATATAATGATTACTGTTTATTGGTTAAAAAAATGGATGGATGTCACATGGTAAAATGGAACTTTTTGTGTATGCTTATAGAGAAAGAGTAAAAAACGATTTCTAGTGATATTAAAAAACTGCACTTAAACATTGGGAGCAAGTAGACGACGAATCATCGGATCGCTTTTGCATCTAAGACAAAGAAACTAATGAGTTGAGATAAAATTCATCCTGATCTACATACCCAGCAATGAACTCTTGTTTGCTCAATTTTCGATCGCCACCGACATCGAGCTTGCGAATTATTTCCGCAGCACGTTTCTTTGGATCACGATCTCCTTTGCGATCAGTTTCACCCGTAAGGTCATACTTAAAATAAATTGATGTGTTTTACGAGAAAAATCAGGACATATGTAGAGATATTAAAATCTTACTATAGCCGATATCATACCGGCCAATTCTTTTTGATCGATTTGTCCATCATTGGAAATATCACACCTGAACAAGAGCAGAATATTCAAATAATAAATCGATCGAACTCACATATCAAAGGCAACTTCGAGTCGATCATCTAAACTGCCTTGACTCGTAGCAGCAACAGCCAGTAGAAATTCATCAAAATCAATTGTTCCATCGTGATTGGCATCGAACATGGAAAATGCAAACCTAAAGTGAGAGAGAAAGTCAACAGAAAAGATACTACAAATCGATTGACTGACTTGCAGAAAGCATCTGCTTTGCCATGCGGATAAAATTTTTGGTACACTTCAACAAATTGTTTTTTGTTGAGTTTGCCTGTTGGACAATCACGAAGGAAACCCTAGATACGAAAATGTATTCATGAGTACAATCTTATATGCAATAAATTACAGCATGCCACTCTCGAATATCTAGAAAACAAATAGAAAATTAGCGAGAACACACTAATAGTGTTTTATCTTACCTCTATCAGTATACTGCGTATTCGCTTTCAGCATAGCAATTTCTAAAAATTCAAGACTAGTATGAAAATATTAATGAAAAAATTCATCAACCAACGTTTGGGTGTCAGTTCTTTCGATGGTCCCTTTTTGGCACCCTTGTTACCCATGTTTGGTGTTGCTTTGGATCAGTACTTGCGAAGAGATGGAGAAAATCGAAAATCTGAAAGTCAATAAACTGCAAATAATTATGTTGATCCTTCAGCCTGCGAAAGAAAACAACTAGTAGTGATGTCATCCACATTGCTTCCTACGAAATATGAGACAAGGTATCACCACAACTTCTTCGTTAATCAATACAGTTCACAATAATTCATAAATAAAGATCAGCTTTAATATTTCATTTATACCTTAGCCGATTCTAATTACTCAGATATAAAAGTCTTTTCCAAGAGCTTCTTATTGCCAAATCGACCAGAAAAGCTATGTCAAAGCAGTTTCTACAACAACAAGTTTTCTTCTTTGTTGTTGTTTTCTTTATCAACTTACAAGTATATCTAAAAGATATCAGCAAAAGTAAATACACTAGTCTATAAGAATTATTAGTTGTACATTACTTCGATAGTGATATTAGTTACAATCAACAAAAATTAGTTTTCATCAATGTAACAGGATTGGAAAATATTTTCTTTAACGTTGTTTATAGAAAATCCGCAAGTCTGTTTCCAGTTATGAAATTTTCTTGTATGTCATAGAAGAAAACAATTGTACTGTAGATCATGAGAGAAATCAAATCCATTCAACAAGATTAGGTTTTATACATGAGCTATTCTGTCATGTAGAATGTAACAACTATCACAGTGAGTTCGTTTTAACTTCAGATTAATCAGAACACTTTATATACGTGTATTGTCATCAGCTAGAGTTATCAGATAATACTCTTGCTGCCTGTATGTCAGTTTAGTACACAAACGATTTTGATCAATCTGAATACTTGGTAATTATCCAGCTCCAGCTAAAATTTAAAAGTTACAATAGCACTCTTCAGTGATTGCTTGTTTCGATATAAGCGACTCTATAAAACTAACTGATGGTATTCTTTATGAACGATCTCTAAATCGAAAGCAAACAAAAACTAGTGACCTTCACGCATAATATTCGGCAGGACTCAAATCTAGTATTTTATTTTCGTCATCGGAGAATCGAATTCGTAATCAAAACACACAAAATTTATGTCTAGCTGCTAGTCTAGAATCATCTTTTCAAGAACAAAAAAGATTATAATTTTTCTGTGAATGTAGTATAATTGGGCATAACTAACAAAATAAAAACCGACAATTCAAATAGAAAGAAAGAAATACCACTAACCTGATGTGGTCCTGAGTCTTAATGTAGTCAGACATTGAAGAGAACAACGATTCTATGAGCATAAAGGTGGGATTATATAATTTAAGAAACAACCTTTTAAAAAACAAAAGTTTGCTCAAAAAGAAATATTTCATCTGACAGATGCACAATGTCCTATCGGTTCCAGAATAAACATTAAAAATAAATGCCCAGTGAATTTTCATCAATAAAATGTATGGTCATATTTGCACCACTTTGTTATCACTTATACTAAACATAATCATAAATCATAATATTTTCAAGTTTACGACTATTGATGACGACTCAAGCTATGGTCGTTAAACACTCGATAGTATAGAAGAAAAAAAAAGAAAACCATTGCTTCTGATAAACATTTATGATTACCAACGGAGAATTGAGTATGATTTGCCTACACTAACTACGCTAGAAGATCCTGCTTACTTTGTAATAACGTATATTACTTGGAGAATGTTTTTAGTTTCATAGATTAAATATTTGCAGATACATTCGATCTCTGAACTTTATCTTTTGTTCTTCTGTAATCTTCCTATTAATTTCAAATAACGGTCTCACATTTAGAATAGTCATTGAAAAAATGTTAATTGCAATTAGTATATTCTATCATATGTTTTTCTATTCATTGTCTCCTAAGTTTTGATTCAGCATAGAAAGATAATAGAATTGTGTGAAATAAATGACGAAAAAAAGTTTACATCTATACTGGTTGATTGAAAAAGTAAATATGATAAAATATTCAGCTTTATGTGGAAGAATTCGAACTCGATGAAATTGAAATTCTAGCATAATTCTTCAATCGCTAAACTAAAAAGCGCGGTCTACTCATACATCATCTTCTTTTCATATCAACAACATTTAAATATCTGACTCTTACGAACAGCACCCGTGGTTGGGTGAGTAGTTGCACTATCAACTTCGTTTTGAAAGAATGCAAAATACCTGTTGCAAGTAACTGTTTGAAGAACAAGTGAATAAGATAACATGACATTGTGTGATAAGCAATGCATACGATTTCGGAACTATGGAAGTGAAAAAATTACCCACATAAAGCAGCGCGTGATTATATAGTGTTTCTCAGTTATCTCATCCATTTTGCCTCCGTGCTTGAGCAAAATAAAGAATGTACTCATGCTATCGCTCGCATTTCGTCGTTAGCAACGACTCTTGTCACAAACAAATTTCTTCAAACGTTATTTTGTATTCATACAATACTAGTAATTTGGAAGCAAATGAATAAGTTCGAAGTTTTGGTTAATCCTTTGAGTACATCATGTTGTTATTGAAAATGTACAAAGAAATTCAAATCTCTGAGCCGTTACATATCTCGTTTCATTGAGAAGCGTGCTAAAACTATTCCGCCTACACATGATAGTTCATCAAACATTATGAAAAATCAAATAGTAACGATGTATGAGTGAATGAAGACTAAAGATAATAATTTTAACAGCAAACATACGGTATCTAGTCTTAATATTAGATCCAAACTATCAAATCGTCTCGGGATCATGCATCAAAGCTTCATTTGTGTCGCTAATCATTTAAAACATATTCAAACGGAACATACTGAAATGAAATATTTTATCATAATGTCAGAAGAATTTTTCACTGATCCAGGCTTTATGAAATGGCCAAAAGTGAAATTTTTCTATATTAATGTACGTATCCTTGGGAACGATGTGGAAGTAAATCTGCATCACAATTTGTAAGACAAATCAGTATCCCAATGAAGCACGTATATACATTAAGAAACGTTTATTAAAAATTCAAAGAACTATAGTGGTATACAATTACAGAACACAAAAATTCACAACTCAAGATGGGCTATTGTATTTAGAACCATCAAACTCAATGACATGTAACGTTAACACAGTAGTTTTTATGGTTGTAGTAGTTGACTATTTTAATTCGAAAGAATGGTGGATTTTAATTAGTTTTAGTCAAGCATAGGATGAAGCCTAATGGTGATATTCAAGTTTCTTTTTTACTTTAATTTATAATGAAACTATTAGATGACACAGCATAGATTTCGAGTACATTTCTTTTTCAGATACTTCTACGTCGAGGTCTAATTCAGACATAAATATTATTTTGATATGTATTTCTATTCACCCATGTAAAAAAAAATTGGAAAAAATCAGATTTTAATGGATTAACATTCTGATTAATAATCACTTAAAATGGCACGATTTTAATCAGATTTTAATCTGATTTTTAATCATAGAAATCATTTTTTCCGATTTTTCATAGCGTAATTGATTTTTATGATTAAAAATCGGATTAAAATCTGATTAAAATCGTGCCATTTTTATCGATTATTAATCAAAACAAAATCGATTAAAATCGATTATTTTTCAAAAATTGATTAAAATCAATTAAACTCAGGCTGTTCTCACCTCTTCGTATGGCCGCCTTTTAGTCAATTTTAATCTATTATTATTTCCTAATACGTTTTAATCTACCCTTATGTATTTTTCGATTTTTGTCTGCCCTTATCTGTTTTTCGATTTTAATCTACTCTTACCTGTTTTCCGATTTCAATCTATCCTAAACTATTTTTCGATTTTATTCTTTACTTACTTGTTTTCCGATTTTAATCTGTACCTACCTGTTTTCCGATTTTAATCCACCCTTATCTGTTTTCTGATTTTAATCTTTACTTACTAGATAATCAATTTTAATCGTATCCCTCGAAAATAGGCACTTTTACCGAGATTCGAACGCGAAACCCTAGTTTTTCCATGATTTTTTTGAATTCTTCGTGGCAAGAAACCCTTAGGTTGTCATCAAGCTAGAGCTTCACATATATACTAAAATTGGAACTCCTATATAAATTGAATCAATTGAGATTGCGCAATTACATAAATAATCGATTAAAATCGATTAACATCCAGAATAATCGATTAAAATCGATTAACGTCCAGAATAATCGAAAAGAACCTATGTTAATCGATTAAAATCGATTATTTAGAATTTTTTGAAAATAATCGGTTTTAATCAATAACCAATATTAATCAATTTAAATTGGTCCGATTTTTAAACGATTTTTTTGAATTTTCTAAGAATAATCGATTTTAATCGATTCTTCAAAGT